GCTAGATTCATCCAAGAGTCAGCCCAGTCTATGATAAATTCAGCAAGGATCGAAATCACAGGGAGACAAGCAATCTAAAAGGGACTAGAAAGACTGGTGTAAAGGTAAAGGAGGAGCAAGCTGCTAACCACCAGGCCCTGAGCAGCTGGCAGTGCAATGAGACCAAGTGGGAGCATGCTTGGGTACCATACAAAGTCTAACCATGGAAGAGAAGCTACTTCAGTGTTTAAACCCAAGGGACTGGTCACTCAACTGTAACTGCTTAGTGTCAGCTGTAAAAGCAATGCTGGAAAGCCACCAGGGGCACTGAGGCCACCCACAAACAGGCAATGGAAGCAAACACGACCACCAGAGGAGGGACAGGGAGAGGAGGGGTGCTTCTGAAGGCAGGACAGTGTCACCATCAGAACCACAGCCACCACAGGCCGGTCCTTGCTGGCAGGACCTGCAGCCATGGAGAAGAAGCACCTGCCACTACAGATGCTCTCAATCTCCCATGGGCCCAAGAAAGCCTGGGAAAGGGCATTCTGTAAGGATCAGTGCCCACAGGACAGGGCAAAGCAGAATGGATCTGAGGGCAAAAAAATCCCAGGGTCACTCCACCTTTCCCCAGCAAGACAGATCTGTGTCATTACTCAAGACTCAAAGGTACAAACATATCTCCTGGCAAACTGGTTACAATGCAGATCCTGTCTCAGGAGAATGGATTCAAAGCTTTCATCTCCCAAGTCTGCTGTGCTGCGGACTCACAAACCACACTTTGAACAGGCTAGGATCTACTGATCTGAGTGAAGGATGGGCTATGATGCAGAGAATCCAGCCACATACCATTCCAAGAACAAAACTAGGCAGTTGAGCACAAGGCTTTCAAATATGAGAAAAGTATGGTGGAAAGCAGGGGTGGGGTTAAGTCCCGGTCAGGACTCCCTGACCACTCAGCACTGTGTGCTAAATTTCCCATGAGGCCATTAGATTTGTACAGCTCAAGGCTGCTGTGGGATAAACTGTGTGACCCCAATGTGAAGCTCTAAGCTCTAAGTTCTCAGAATGTGACTATATCTGCAGATGGGACATTTGATTAAGTTGAAATTAATTAGCTGAGGTGATTATGTTAAAGTGAGGCCTTTAGGGTAGGCCCTAATACAATATGACTGTTGTCCTCATAAGAAATGGTGACTAGGACACACAGAGGGTGACTGGGGACACAGGCACCAAAGAAAAGGCCCTGTGAGGACACAGAGGAGGCAGTCATCTGCAAGTCAAAGAGAAGCACCTCAAGAAAGGCCAACCTGGTCTTGATCTTGGGCTTTCAGCCTCCAGGACTGTGAAAAAAAAAAAAAAAAAAAAAAAAAAAAAAAAAAAAAAAAAACTGATGTTTAAACCAGTCCTGTGGTATTTTGTTATGGCAACCTTAGCAGATAAGACAGAGGGCTTCATTTTTGCTTCCTACTAACTTAGTCCTGTAAACTTTCAGAGTATGTTGTTCTGTGAGAAGCAGAGCTGCAGGAGCTGGTTCACAGAATAACAAAGACACAGTCCTTGGCCATCTCTAGCCCTTGCTTGTCCATCAACATGGAGGGGGGAGGGAGGGCAGGCAGAACCAAGAGAAATCAATACTATGTAACTCAGATGATGAGGAAAACTATACCATACGCAAAACCAAATGTTGTAAAGCACAGAGGAAAAGCAAATGCATTCTACGAAGATAGGGAGGGAACTTTAAGATGAATTCTGACAGAGGGACTGAGAAAGGGAAACCTCCCTAATGATGCAACAACAGCAGCCAAGGCTAGAGGACACCATGAAACTCAATTCCCTGCTGCACTTGGGACCAGCACATCATCCAGCAGGGTGGGTAGGGAGCCAGAGATGATGGGGCAGAGGGACATGTAACAGAATGGGTGAAACTGAACAGAAGACCCCAGCCTTTCAAGATCAGTCTGCACTTTGGAAAATAAAGATTAATTAAAATGAAGAAGGTAAATTAGGGAGAGAAGGGGGTAAGCACAGAGCCCAGTAATAGAACTGCCCTATGTTACTAACTGGCATAAGACCTGCCTCTAAGATAACCATATGCTCTATAGTCAGTTATTTTCAAAGTGACTCTGAATAGGATGTCATTTCTTACCCTGCTAACTTGGTAGAAGTTGGCATCCACCATAACTTCAAAGCTGGGAACCAGTACACATGACAGTCATGGATAAGTGTCACAACCCAGTGAGTGAGAAAGGGAACTGAAGCTTGAGATCTAAGTTCTCAGTTCCACAGACTGAAGCTGGAGGTTTCAGCCACTGTCACCATGTTGCTATCAGCTCTGCTAAAAGAACGTGCATGCATCCAGAGGCCTGCCACCGTCCTTCCACTGTCAGGCAACAAGACCTCAGATTTCTCTACTCTAGAGCAAGAGAAGCCACAGACTAGATGCAGAAAGAAGAGAGCACAGTCGCTCTTTGCTTCTGCCCATCCAAGAGCTCAGAATATTGTAAGGTGCAGAGAAGTTTAAGATTCAAGGGACCTTTACTCAACATATTGACTTTAAACGTCCACTGTGTATGAGAGGGCAGAGCTCCACATTCCTGAAACCACTCCCTAAGATGTTTATTGGTAAATTAATCTGGAGTCTCCCATCTAGACAGGAAGGTAAGCATTCAGCACTGACGGGCTTGGAGCTGGGGTGGCTTCATGCATCAATGGCACAAGTGATTAACAAATGGAAAGCAGTGCAGAAACACAGGAGATGATTACAGAAACCACACAAGATGTGCACCCAAGGAAAGGCAGTCAGTTCCCAAGGAAGGCTTTCAAAATAAGTGTCTGAGTAGCCGTCTTGATCCCAGCCCGCAGGCACTGTCTTCCAATAGGAGATGAAAAGAGTCCTTAAGGCATCAAACGTGGTCAGAGAATGATCACAGACTCAAAGCGCAAATGCCAGCAGAGAAATTCGAAATGGACATGTGAGGACAATGGACGGGGTACCAGGAAACAGCATTTGCCTTCCTCATGACCCTTAATAACAGGTTTTTCTTTTTATCAGAAAAGACATTAAAAATAAAGGTAATTAGATGAATGTAAAATGGGATAAGAATCAGAGGATTTACCTTCAGAGCCCAGAATTACCTTACAAGAAAAAAAATTACAAAAACTTTCAGGGATTTCACTGATGTGATTTTGAAGAGAAGTCAGAAAACCCAACATAAAATTACAGTTAATTAAAGTCTGGGGTGTCACCCTGAGGTAAATGCTTACTAGGTTCATTCTGCAGTGCCAAAATACACACACACACACACACACACACACACACACACACACACACATCCTCAAAGCACACTGCAAGCAGAGTCACCACAGTAGCAGCAGATGATGCTTAAAACGTACATTTCATTTCTTCCGAGCCTCTGGTCTACTGACTACATATAATAATGACTTTTCAAAGAGCTTACTACCCATGATTTCGCTTATTCTATAAGTGGATGCATTTTAGTCCTGCATCTTAAGCAAATTCCCTGAGGAAAGTTACACGATGTCACAAAGAGTCAAAAGACTTGGACTTCAGAAGACACTATTCTATCACTCAGGTGGATGAAACTTAAAGAACAAATACATGCACCTCCTGGGCAGTGCTTATTCTTATCGGACTATTCTGAGATGTGAGTGAAGCCTTTGTTCAGGTTCAGGACTGCTATCTCTCAACAAAGGCAGGCTGTAGTGTAGCTCAGTGGGAGGGCAACTGCCTGGCATATATAAGACCCTGGGTTTAATCCCCAGCACTACAGAAATAAATAAATTAATAAATTAATTCTGAAAAAAGAAAACAGTGCAGAAGCACAGCATTTCAAAACAGCATGGCTTTCTCACTATGAACAGAAGGTGAATGAAGGGAATCTGAATGGAAAAACCCTCACTTAACACTGTGCTTTGTATACTTGAAAAGAAAGTCTCCAGCATGATCCCAACCCACTGCCACCTAGAACTTGAGCATAGCCTTCAACCTCAAAAGGTCTTCATACCCCCAGAGCAGGGCAGGCTGCCTCAGTGAGCTGATACAAATCGTACTTTATACAGTATAATGCTGACCCTGTGCTATGAGACTGTTGTTAGATGAGATCGCGAGGCTAATCCAGGCCTTCTAGTGTGCCCCATGAACCAGTAACTGGACATGGCACTTCACATAAGGAGATCCAAGTAGGGTTCTGTTAAGACATTCAGTTGAGTCCCATCAAGCTCTGCTCACCAACATCATGTGGAGCTTCATTTTCATTCTTTGGAGCACTTCAATAGACCTCAAAGCAAGCATCAGAGTCAACAGCCTCTGAACTGCCTTCTCTTACATAAATTCAGCAAGAAACCATCAAAGCATCAAATTCAAACTCAACTCCAAACTTGGGGTGGCTGACCATCCACAGGTGACAGGGTCTTTCACCAACCAAGTGAGCCAAAAATGTAAAGAAGGAAGCTCCTGTTTGCAGTACAGAGCATGAAAATCTAAGGCCTGAATTACAGACATCCTCTACAGTGAGTCTTGGCTGAAATGCATACCAACACAGTCTAGCTGATCAGACATGCAGGGGAAAAAAATCTGACAGGAGATCACTAGTTTAGAAATTCCTAAAATCTAATCACACTGTAAAAGAGTATTACAATATTGCCAGGAAAAATAAATACATTTGTTCTTAATACCGACTTTAACAAAAGTAGAAACAAAGTGGATGCCCTTGAATAACAGGTTTTTAAATTTGCTGAGCTAAAAATGGAGAAATTTCAACCAGTGAAAGATACAGAATGCATCTGAAATATCAGTGACCTGTGCATGTTATAACTCCCAGCTATAATGCGCAATGGCAACCCCTCCCCCATCCTCAAAAACAACCCAGAACTCCTACCCGGCTGAAGCTCCTTATCAGCTCCATTGATCTTACCTTGAGCAAAGCACATAACTACCAGGTTTTAGAAAAGAGGGTGAAAAAAACATATTACCTACTTAAAGACTGAGATACTCTTACTTTTAAAATATTCTGGGTTTCATTCCACTTATTTGTCCATTCCTTGGTCAATTCTTGGACCTAAAATTTAAAAAAAATATAATGGTTTTATTGAAAATTAATATAATGTTTATCTAGAAAACTTCTAGAATCTTATACACTAAGGAAAACACTTTTTTCTCATTTAGCTAGCAAGTTCTTTTCCTTGAAAGAACCATCACCAAATATAAACCAGACCCTTGGTGTCATCAACAACCTATATTACAGCAAAGGAGAGACGGAAACATGTCAAATGAGTTTTATGATATTTTTCCATCGTATACACTTTGGATTATTAACCAAATTTACAACTCCAAAGATGACAAGGTCACATAAAGTGTATTTCTTCTTCCTGAGGATACTTTAAGTTCAAATAAACAGTCATTTATTTTTCTTTCTAATTAGATTAAATCACCTTGGCTATTGCAGTTTCCTCCTAGGAGATAATTTGCTTTTGTAGCTAATTAATGGGGTTTATAAATTTCATTGTATCTTTGAGTTAAAAAAAAAGAAAAAAAAAGATGCTTCTTTAATTGATTCAGAAAGAGCAAAAAAAAAAAAA